TGTGGGGGGGCGACTGGGATAGGGAGTGGGGGGCGACTGGGATGGGGGGGCGGCGACAGGGATGATAGGGAGGGGGCTGGAGGAGGTGACGGTGATAGGGAGGGGGTGCGGGGGCTGGAGGAGGTGACGGTAATGGGAGTGTATAAAAGTGGGACTGAATGGGTTTTGAAGTGGGGGAGACATTGCTGCCCGAACTGTCCCGTTCCCATCCCGTTCCAGCTCTCGTCCTGAGCTAATAACCTGTTGTTTTCAGGACTGGACGTCAGCTACTGACCGTGAGTCAGTGGACTTTGACTCTTCTGCTTCTGACCTCCGAGACACGTCTGATTCCCGATCACGAGCGTCCTCAGCAAGTCTGCAAACAGCCACCGTTCAGGTCAGTCCCTTTTCGACCCACTGGTAATACATACAGGGGCATTACCCCATCACTGCCCCATGGAGGGAGGGTTATAGATACAGGGCCATTACGCCATCTCTGCCCCATGGAGGGAGGGTTATAGATACAGGGGCATTACCTCATCACTGCCCCATGGAGGGAGGGTTATAGATACAGGGGCATCACCCCGTCACTGCTCCATGGAGGGAGGGTTATATAGATACAGGGACATTACCCCCTCGCTGCCCCATGGAGGGAGGATTATAAATACAGGGGCATTGCCCCATGGAGGGAGGGTTATAGATACAGGGGCGTTACACCAGTACAGGGTCTAGTCCCATGGAGAGAGAGGGGCAGTATACCAGTTCTGACACTGGCCTGTCTTGCTGCTAGGTTGTCCTCTCGAGCTGTTCTCTCTGTACGAGCTGTGCCTCACTAGTGTATGATGAGGATATCATGGCGGGATGGACTGCAGATGACTCGAACCTCAACACCACCTGTCCATTCTGTGCCCGCTCCTTCCTACCACTGCTAAACATCGAGATCTATGAGCCCCAACTCCAGCAACCAGGGTAAAACAACTGTCTGTCTGTCTGTCTCGCTGTCCCCACACCCCACCACCCCCCTCTCTCTCCAATGCGTTCTTTCTCTGTCTCTCTGGCATGTTCATTCTCTCTCTCTAGCGCAGTCCTATTCTGTCATGTACTCTATGTCGCACTCTTACTTAGGGTGATGGCTCTCTCCCTCCCTGTCTCTCTCTCCCCCCCCCCCCCCCCCCCCCCCCCCCCCCCCCCCCCCCCCCC